TCCCTACAGAATTACTTACCTATGGCTGTGTTGGGAAAATAGAAGAGTGATGCTCAAGATTTCAGCTGATCTATAATCAGTAATTCCTATCTAATCAATTAGATGTTGATAGGTTTGTAGAAAATGCTATTAAGAAACCAAACCAAGCTTGTAATCTTTTTTAAAAAAATATTTATCTAGTTTTTATTTTAATTCTGCACAGTCAATTTCATTTTAAAGGTTGTGAATTTAGAAGTACTCGCATTGTTCTGCAGTTTTATTCAACTATTGTATGAGTGCGCTTTGCCTTGACACCTATTACAAGCACAGCTGTAATTATATCATCACCAAGAACAGGCTATAATTGCTGAAAATCGAATTTTATATTTAGATAAAAGGACTGTCCATTCTTTGTAATGTGTTGCACCAGAGAAAAGTAAGATTTCTTTTAAATTTTTAACGTGTAATTTTAAAAAAAGAAATAGAGAGTTCACTAACTAGCTAAGTATTCTAGGCTGCAGCTGAGTCCTTGGCATATCATTTAAGTGGTACATTTTTAATTAGGGCATTTCCACCACTTTTAATGTAATTTCTATCATTAAACAGGGGAAAGTTTTGTTGTTTTCCCTTGTTGCTTGGAGGGCAAGATGTGCACTTGAGCTAGCTGTCTCTTGTCTAGCGCCTTGCCCAGGAGGCCACAGCCTGTCTGTAGGGAAGCACTCATCCCTGACTGGGCCTGCAAGCTGGGTCCTGGGTCTTGGGTCCTGAGGCCCCCAAGGGATACCAACAGGGGCTGACCTAGAAACTTGGCCAGTGGGGGGAGGGGCTTCTAGGGGGCCCTGGTGAAAATCGACTTGGCCAGGAATATCATTTATAATCAGGAGACAATAGGCATCGCCTTCAAAGAGTTCAGGGAATTGTGACAGGATCTAGTGGGATCTTTTCAGGAACTTTGAAATGTTTTAAAACCCCAACTTTCTCCCCCATTTAAACAGGCGGATTCATCGGCACTGGCCACCATATGGGCCCTTGGAGATCTATTGAGATGACCACCAACACTTGAATAGCGAGGGGCTGCTTTTCAGCGCCGCACAATGCCCTGCGAGTAAGGGAAACTATTAAACTCCTGGGGCAGGAGCGCTGGCAAACTTTCGTGGGCAGAATTTTGAGGCCACAATGAGCGCGGACAACAAAAGGATTCTCTTGAGGCGTGCAGCGGGCCACATTGTGTTACAAGAAGCCCAGTCAACAGACTTTTCAGTGAAGTGTGTTAACCCCTCTGCTCCGCTATCATTAATCACTGTCCGGAGAGCGGGCGCCTCAATGCTATTT